TATTTAATCTTTAACAATATCAGGTTAAGTAAATTTTAAAAAGGCTAGTGAATCCTACTTTGTGAAGGGTCTAAGCTCAGCATTGTGTGATTTAGGATTGAACTCAGTGCCTTATTTTCAGATTATGTGCCAAATTTTCACCTTCTTGGATATTTTTAGTAGTTCTTATTGCTTTTGGTCTATTTATCTGCCATGACAGATTTATATAGCAATCATAGATAATGAATTGGATAACAAAGGGTAATTTGCTGTCAGGATTATCCAAATTATTGCTATTCTGTGTATGTTCTAAGAGTACCAGACATACCAAGAATTGAAGAGGGGATGATCTGAAAGTATAGATTATTCTACATCAGCTCTGTCCAATAATATATATACATAATTTGAAATTCTCTTGTAGATACAGTAGGAAAAAAAAACAGTCAGTGGAATTATTTTATCCAATTTCTTTGAAATGTTACCATTTCAAGATGTAATCAATATAAAAATGACTCATGGGGTATTTTTTTTTTTCATTCTTTTTTAGGGGGTATTTTCTTTTCTTTGAAAGAACATTTTCAAAGTTTGCTCTGTTTCACATGTATAACATCTCATTTAGAACTAGCAGCATCTCAATTGCTTAATGTGTATGTGTGGTTCATGGCTACTGTACAGGTACACACAGTTTAGATCATGTATCTAAGCTATAAGGACAGATGAAATCAAGAAAAGAGATGTCTTCATTATACTGTGAAAACATGTGTTTTGCTGAACCATTCAGCCTTTTTGGGGGGTCATTTTTAATGTTACGTGTTTGTTTCTACTTTCTAATTATTAAATTGACCTTATGACAACAATGTACAAAACAAAACAACATCATTTAAAGCAGATATGTGCTCTGGATTATAACAAAAGTAAAAGTTATAATCTTACTAATATTTAGTTCTTTGAGCATCATAGCAAAATATAGCTAATGAATATCATTAAATAGATGTCTAATTGAGAAACAATTAAGACATGTTTATTAAAAGGGAAAAATATCCTTTAAAATATTTTCAGGTAGATAACACCAGATGTCAAATGGTCCTTGTGATTTCTATAGAACTACTTTTGGTAGCTAGGTAGTGTACTTGTTACTTTATATATAAATTAGTAGTTAAGGATTTAATTGATTAATACTTATTTATCTGATGTGGCTAAGGCTTATGCTTAGGTTCATATTAATTTGTATATCTTTATATAGTTTTCCCTTATCCGAAATACTCAGGATCTTGTCAGCACAGCAAGATACACTTGTCATCTTTTGGGCTGTTCTCAGCAATGTAGATTGCATTTGGCTGTCAAACTTATCATTAGATTTAGACAGTAACATGTATTTGCTCTCAGGAAATGTAGGGCTCTCTCTAGCAATTCTTCAGTACAGAATATGAGAAAATGCTACTTTTATTGCTGTGGACAAGCTTGATCATGGGTGTATGCATATTCAGTTAACAGAGGAATCAAAGGTAAATTTTTTTTTGTTTGTTTAGTGTGAGGTAAGAGAGGATCATGGCTGATTTTTCTATTTTTTTTGCATATATTCCCCTCCATAATATGTAGATTTTATTTCATGTTGGAGAGTGCAGGAATGGTTTTGATTCTGCTAGTGTTTTTTAATTTACCTCACAAATGATTGATTTTGATTTAGGGTATTTGATTTTCTCCTAAATATTATTAAGGTTATCTTCCATAAGTAAATCATTTTTGAATTGGTATAGGAACTAAAGTGATAACAAGTGATCCATGTCAGATAAATAAACATTAATACGATTCCTCTCAGTTGTTTGGCCATAGTAGGTGCTTTGTGAATATGTTTTTTGTTCAGTATGATCAAACACGAAGAGTCTTTATTTCTGGCAGATTTTTATTAACAAGGATAATTCTTATATATCACATTATATTTTAAAATATTTATATTTCTTGGGATTTCAACCTCAGTTCTACTTTTATTCTTCTATACCTTCTTGCTTAATCTCCTTTATCTTTCACAACAATTTAGAGACCAGTGGTTCTCTAGTTTGATGACTTTAAGTTCTCTTCTTCTTAGATCCACGTGTTATCAGCTCATTTGTTCATCAAGTATTTATTGAGTGCCTAACTCAGGCTGACCATTATTTCTGGTGCTTAGAATAATATTCCTGAGAGAAAGAAGAAACAGCAGCATTAAAACAAAAATTCCTAGCTTCATGAAATTTAAATTCTATTATTTGCTCTTTTCTAGAAGCATTTCAAATTCAGTATGTCCACAAAGAATGCATTTCCAACTCGTTCTCTAAAAAGATGTGACATTTCTCTTTCAACTAACAATGTCATGATATTTCCAGTGTCTCAGGTTAAAACATTGGGGAAGTCAACCTGTGTGTCTGTCACTCACCCCATTCCCCTGCCCTCAACACTCTAGTGGTCACTGAGTTCTTTTGGTTCCTTCTAATGAATGTGTCTGTCTCCTCTCTCTTTTTATCTTCTCACTGCCTTAATATAGGTTGTCTGTTTTTCTATTGGATTCTGTAGAAGCTTTACATCTGATTGTGATACCACTATTTCCTTTCCTTTTTTTACTCATTGCCAGAATTGTTTTTTTCAGAAAATAAGTTTTAGGATTCTCTCATTCCTTGCTTTGTGCCCCCTCTCCTCCCCAGTGACTCTGTATGTTTTACCATGCCTGCCTGTAAGGCAAAGTCTCAAGCAGGTTAAGGAAACATTGCTTTCCTGGCTCTCACATTGTCTTACTGAGAACTGTAGTCCAACTGCCATTTGATTCTCTGGGTGCTTTATAGTTTCATTGCCTTAACAAATATCCTTCCCTCAGCAAGAAATGCCTTTCCCTGCCTTGGCCTCCCTCACACTCTGTACTCTGTTCATCCTTCAAGACATGGTTCACCTGTTATGTCTCTTCCAAATCCTCTTTCCTGATGATGATACTGGGTTCCTAGTGTATCACATTACAGTATTATTACTGTTTCCACTCAGTGGAGAACTTAGCAGTTAGGTACCTGTCCTTATTTTTCTTTGTCATATTCTTCAGTGACAGAAGCAGATAAAGATTTTAGAGGGCATAAAGTTTATAGAATTTGGATGTTCCTCAAATAAAAATAAAAATTTCTGATTATGAAATTAGGTATGAAAATATTTGTTTGAGAGTTAATGTGTAGCTCAGTGATACAGTGCTTGTCTAGCAAGTGTTTTCTATTCCCAGCCCCACAAGAAAATAAAATAGAATGAAAATATTCATTTGAAGGAGAATGGAAGGACTTTGATTTTGGGGACCCTTAATAGTAAATAAGAGTTTTCAGTAGTGGGAAAGATGTCATAAAGCCATGTAAGACATGGTATAGTTTGCATTTCCTACCCTTCATCAAACAATGTTGATTTGTATTAAGGACTTTCTAATTTCATAAGCCTTTAATATCTGATAGCAGTTGGAAACAGCAACATAGAGAGGTAGGCATACAGGCACTAAATAAAAAACAAAATAGTAAGAGCAATAACTTTTGTATTTCTTCCAGGCATTTTGCATATGCTATTGTTATTGCCCTCTTTAAAAAGAGCAACTCAAAGAAGTTGAAGGACTTACTTAAGATCTCACAACTGGTAAAATAATAGTACTTATTCAAGAGAACCATTTATAGAGAGGCTTGCAAACTCTGAAACACAGCTGTCTGGAGCTGTGTAATCTGAAGGTAAATAGCTTTTTTCTTTCCTGCGTTATTATTATTTAGAGTCCAAAGTTGTGATTTGGTGCAATGAGACTTACTTCCCATTCCTGCCTTTTAGTTTTCGCTTGGGTTTGCATATTATTTCTATTACTTACAAGTTTCATGCAAGTAGGGGAAAACTGAGCATCAGTTTTCCTGTCTGAAAAATGGGAGTATCTAAAAGCATATGTGTAAAGAACAATATGCTCTGCCTAAGAAAATAAGGACATATGAAATCTATTTCATAAACAGTTCCATTTTAAATAGTGAAAACAGTTCCAGTTTTGATGTCTGAACATTCACTTGTGGATACTATTTTGTTCTCAGGAAGAATTGTTATTGTAGTAGAATGAAAGAAACTAATTCTTAAATGTAATTTTATTATTCCTTGTTAGTGAACAGCACTTTTTAAAAGCCCCAAATAATAGATTGTTGCTTTAACTTGTATATTACAACTAAGCATATACTTTCCACATTCCAGTAATGAATATATATTTGGAAATTTTGCCTCTCAAAGGGAGTATTTGATAGTAAATTGTGTCTGAGGAATAAAATTGCTTTTTAAATCCACAAAATGCTATGGAAAGTTGAATAGTTTATTACTTAGAGAATGTAGTCAGGGTAGACATTCACTTGCACTGAGTAGGTCTTTTAATCCATCTTCCTTCTTAACTCCTTCTTCCTTCTTCTCTGTCCCCAAACCTTATAGCTTCATGAGATTACTTCTGTCTGAAACTGTTTAATTGTTGATGCTTTATTATATAGACTTCTCAATACCTCTCCCAGTAATAGCTATAGAAAAATGACTGCTTAATAAAGGGTCTGAATGAGGTGACCTTGAAAAATTAATGATCTCATTGGTCTTCTACTTCCACATGTACAATATCTGGTGTTAGCAATTTATGTGTTGGGACATAATAAAAACTCACAAAATTTTCTTTTATCTTTTGATATAAGTGCAAAAGAAATTATTGATTTCTTCTGCCAGCCAAATTTGAGAGTTCTGAATTGCTCCCTGAAAAGACTTGTGAAGAATGGGTTCTAAAAGAGCGAGAGTGTCATCACAGAACCTGCAGTCTCCGCATGGAATCTCTGCATGGAGCTGGGATTCAGTTGACAGGGCATAAGCTACTAGTCACCACAAACAGTGCAGGAGAGAAAAACAGCCACATTAACTATCACTCTAATTTTATTTTCTTTCCTGAGGGCTTCTGAATTTAGAAGGTACTAATTGATGGAGAAAGATAAAAGTATCTAATTACATGTAGTACTTAAAGCTCAGTGATAACTAAGCAGGCAATTCAACAAATAACATGCTTCATAAATTTTGTAGACAAGATTCCAGCACAGGATAAGCAGTTTGGAACAATATTAGGGAAATTATTTTGGAGGGAAAACCTTCCTAATGACCTTGGGTGAATATATAAACTTAAGTTATAGGTGGATAGGGAGAGTAAGTTGAAGCAGTATGGTGATAATATTCTGATCTACTCTTACACTTCCTAGTTCCACAGTTTCCTTCTGCAATAGAACCCAGTAGGACTCCACTGAGGAATCTCTCAGTTTTAGGGGACAAAGCCATGTATTGTCCTGCCCCAGTATCTCCCTAAGATCTCACCAACTCAACAAAAATCCTGTCACTGAGTAGGCAGCTGAGGAATGACAAGACATCTGTACTGTTCCCTTCTTCTGCAGTTGATAAGTCCTAACACAGACCTGCTGCCTGCTGTGTTTCTGGGTCTAGTAGGGACAATTTGAGGATCCATAGTTTTTTCTAAGCACCAAAGACACAGTCTGCCCTGGCTCACTAGGGAATTGCTTCATTTCAGGCAGGCAAGAGGGCAGGAGGCAGGAGGCAGAAGTAATTTCTCTGGAGAATTTGTTGCCAGTGTAGGAATTGCACCTGAGAATTCTTTGCCACAAAGCTAATCCTTCTGCTTGTTTTAGGTTTCCCCCAAGAAAACATTGTGGCTGGGCTGTGTGTTTTATGGGCAGCTAGCTGCCTCTGGAGTCTGACATTGACACACTGTTCATCTGCAAGAGCAGCCCTTGGAAGAATCCTTATGCCTAGTTCTGCCAAGAAATATGCCTGGCATGTTGGATCTTGGCCCTTCTTACTGAGGATGTGGTCATTAACAAGGGCAAACTGCCCAACAACTTAAATTCCTTTGAGTTTTACCCAGGGAGTAAGAGAACAGAAGAAACTTATCTTCATTCTCAGAAGCACCTAAATCTTTTCCTGAGTCACTGTTTGGAGTGAGTTAACAATTTGTGGGTAGGGCCATCTCCTATAGGGTGTGCTGAGCAAGAACAATGTGGATGGAAAGTATGTAAAATGGGTGTCCAGATAGAAGTTATTGAGTTCTGTTGTTTCAATGTGTAATGAAACCATTCAGATAACCTATGTATTTTCCTTTTAGGTAGTTCCCCCCCCACCGCCCAGTTAGGAAAGTCTTGAGAAAAGGATGAGAGAATATTGCTTTCACCAAAACTTGTTAAAAGTATGTGGATTTTGGGTCAAGTAACGGTTTTGATTTATGTATGTTTATGTAATGGTGGATTAATGTGCCTCTTCTCTGTGTTTTAGTACTGCTTTACATATGTCATGACTGCTGATTCTACTGAATTGCCATCTGAGTATACGTGAAAGTTAAAAATAAATTTATTCTAATTGTAACATATTTATATTAATGTATTCTGTGGGGTTCACCCATAATTTCCAAAGGTGGGGTTTTAAAATGGGCTGGGTTGTGTATACATCCAAAAGGAGATCAGCAACAATCATTCATCATTTCCTCTCTTGCTGCTCTCTGATGTGGAGTTGGCTAACTTGGGGCCATAAGCATCTGCTTCTAAAGCTTTTATCTAAAAGAGCCTGGTAAAAACAGAAGCGAAGGAGCCAATAAGAAATAGAAATAAAGCTTTGTTTTTAACAAAATGATTCTTTATGAGATACTATTTTTTTTTTCATTCTATTTCCTTTAGTTTTGTTAGAATTAAGTGATCTAGACTGAAGAAATTATTTCTATGGGAGCACTTACCATTGGTAAATTTTTTCCAGGTACTTTAGTAGTGTATAATGCAAACATTTTTTGGTGAAAAAGAAGGGTAAAGAGGATTTGAAAAATACCATGAGTTTTAAAGAAAAAAGTAATCATCTCTATTTCTGTCCTTCAAAACCAGATATTGTGAGGATATTCACGTTTGCTGCCAATTTCTTATATTTCCAATTTTATTATGAGAAATTTCAAATGTACATAAAGGCAAGGAGGATTCAGCTTTAATAGCCATGGTTTACAGCTAGTCTTGTTTCTTATCTACTCTCAGTCATTTCATTGTTTATTCCCATATTTTGTCCATTCGCATTTTTTGAAGCAGCTCTCCAACATTGCACCATTTTATCCATCAATAGTTCAGCCTACTTGCTTTTTTCATGTGTACTTTAAAACATTATAAAAGTATGGTTTCCTTTAAAAAACTAAGGAAAGCTAAATTTGCCCTTTGACCTCTTCCTGATTTTAGGCTACCGTTCCATTAGTCCTCTCTTGTTTTCCTAGCCCTCAATTGTTTCCCATGTAGGATTCTTAATTATCTCAGTGGTCCTAGTTAAAATTGTCTTTGCCAGTAAGCTTTCTTAAACTTGATTAGAAGTAGAATGCTCAAATGTGGCAGTTCAAAGAGAAGTGGTATTTCTTAAGTAAGGGTATTTGAGGAGAGTGGTTTGTGTAGGATGTATGGTACAGTGCTACACTAAAGCAGGCTGTAATAGGTAGGCATGTTGGAACAGGACCTCAAAGTACCTGTGGCAAAATGGAGTTCACCATGAGACTCATTGTCACTGTTTTCCCTCTCATTGGCTGCGTTGGGTCTCCTAAAGAATGCTTTCCTTCTCTTTTCCTTTACCTGCATTCTCCTGTCTCTAGTCACTGACTTGGTTTTGCTCTTTCAGTATTAAGGTTTGCATGTGCCCCATCTTAGCTTCTTAATTTTTTCTGTCTTAACTCTAGCTCCACTATTACTTGGTTTATTAATATTTAAGTTTCCAAGAGAGAGATGCCAGTGTATATCTTCCATTCAGATTAATAGTTACATTGGATGAGTTTGGGTAAAAACTCTAACCCTGGTTCTCGTGATTGTGGTTGGAGGAGAGGGCAGAGCATAGCCCCTCTGATTGCATATTTTTTAGAATGGGGCTGTAAGTTGTTTGAAATCTGAAGTAACGAACCTGGGCTGCCTCAGTAAATACCACAGGCTGGGTTATTTTGATGATAGAAGTTTATTTTCTCACAGTTCTGGAAGCTGGAAAGTCCAGAATCAAGGTTTATCAGGTTTTATTTTCTAGTGAGGGCTCTCTTTCTTGCTGTGTCCTGAAGAAGTCTTTTTTAGTTCTTGTGGAGAGAGCTTGGTCTCTTTTTTTATTTGAAAATGGCCATAAATTCTATCAGATTAGGACTCTGTCCTTACAACCTCATTTAACCTAATTGCTTCCTAAAAGCCCTGCCTCCAAAATCAGTCACTTTGGGAGTTAGATTTTTAACATATGAATTCTGAGGGAACACAGTTCAGTCCACAGTGGCCACATAAGGCACTGGGACTCAGCCATGCTGACTCTTGGTTAGGACAACTCTTTGTGTCTAGAGTGGTAACACCACTATGTTAACCTATTTTATGTTCTCTATCTTGATGACCGGTATTGCCCTCTAATCATTAACTCACACCGTAAGTCTGGAATGCATCCTAGGCTCATCTGTATCTTCACACTGTCAGGTCATGTTGCTCACAGTTCTTAACTAATTCTTGAATCTGTCTCCCATTTTAACTTATTTTCACTTCCATATCATTTTGTTTATCATGAAAATAGGGCATGGTACTTGTTGCTAGACAAGCACTGTACTACTTGAGCCCATTTTTTAAATGTGTTTTTGAGATAGGGTCTCCTTTACTTTTGCCTGGGCTGGCCTTGAACTGCAATTATACCTCTACTTCCTGAGTAGATGGGATCACAGGCATGTACCACCATGCCTGACTCCCTATCTGTTTTTGATCATGCCTCCTTATTTCCAATTTGGCCTCCTTGTTTCCAGTTTTTCTTGCTTTTTTCATGTTTACCATACCATTATCTCAGAGCTCTTTCTAAAACACAGTCTGACCATGTTAACTACTTTGTCAAAATAAACTTTAAATTTAAAAACTTAAAATGGTATGCCTAATAATTTGGTATTTGTACATCTTCAGCCACATTCATTACCTCTATTATCTCTTGGCACCAGTCCAGGCATAAAAACTTTGCAGTGCCCAGAAGGTGCCATGTGTTCGTGTCTTTATGGGGGGACCACTTCTCACGTCTTGTGCTTTGATTCACTCCTGACTGTTCTTTAGGACTTTATGTAATGGTCTCTGTCTCCAGGAAGCTTTTGGGTTTGGAGTTCCTCTTTCATGTTTCTGTATTTGAATTATCTGTTTACTTGTTTTTCTTCCACTTACTTACACTGAGTTCCCAGACTGTTGTCCTCATTTCTGATTCTGCTACTATATAGCATGCCAGCATTGTTGGCATCTTGTGTGCCTTTGCTGAATCTGTAAGTAGCAGAATTTGAGTTCTCTTCTAGCTCTGTGACCCACTTAGCATTTTCACATTGGGCAGGTAATTTATCTTATGACTTTATAAAGGAAGAACTTGAATATGAATGGTATGCTTAAGTGTAGAGTGCCTGCTTAGCAAGTGCAAGGCCCTAAGTTCAAACTCCAGTACTGTTAAAAAAAGAAAAGAAAAAATAAGCAAAAAGAAAAGTCAACTTGAAAAAATAAAAATTATATTCAGGAATGCTTTGTTGATCAAAGTTTATTAGAAACGAGAAGTTCAAAAGAACAGATGTTGAAGAAAGGCCAACTGTTTTGCTGTTGGATGAGTAGTAGGTGTTGGTGGATATTGTGATTTTTTTTTTTTTTTTGCTTTTGGAGCAATAGTTTAGTATTGTTATGCAAAAGTAGGATTTATGATTGAAAGTGTAATTATTGCTTTCATAACCAGTTGAGTTTATGACAAATTACCTGCAAATAACTACAGTCTGGCTTTTGTCTGCTAACTTCAGGTAGTGCTGAGGCAGCTATGAATGAGAGAAATGTGAACTTTAAATTCAATAACAGATGCTGAGTGACTGTGACTAGCCACACACCAGTGCAACAAGCTCTTTAATGTTGTATTCTTTTTCAGTCAGAATCATTTAGGATAACTAGGAAATTGTACGCATTTGAGGCAGATTCTCTTCATAGAGTTTTTTTTTTAGCATAAAACGTATTTTCATTTGTTAGTTGCCATGAAATCTGCCTTGGGCAGAATGAGTTGCCTTGTTTCAAACACTGTTTCTCTATCTCTTACATAAAAGCTGTGCCTCAATGTTACCAGTACAACTTGTTGGAAAATAAAGTGATTTTATTTATTTTAACAACTAGTTAGTTCTTGCTTCTCAGCAAGATATTCAATTTTATTTTACCCCCTACTGAAACTACTGTTATCAACCATTTCTTGAGGAATCATCTCGTCACAGAGAAAACCTTTTTGAGATTTATTAAGGATTTGATAACTGTCAGTGCTGGCAACACACAGGCCTTAAATTACAATGAATTTTTAAGTTTAATTTTTCTAAGCAAATACGAACATAATAGGATTGTCAGGTAAAATAACAAATGCCCAGTTATGTTTGAATTTCAGATAAATAAAAAAAATAGTTTTTACTGTAAGAGTGTCCCAAGTATTGTAGGGGATATACACTAAGAAATTACTCATTTATCTTAAATTCAAATTTAACCAGGGATCATGTATTTTTATTGGTTAAATTTGGTGCCCCTTCATTAAGATATAAAATTGAAAAGGAATACAGTACAAAGCAAGTTTCTCTCTCACGCCACTACCTCCTACCATTAGTGTCTATAAAACTAGTGGAGTTTTTATAAACATGTACCTATTAATTGTTATTTACATAAACATTTTATCTTCTTATTTTATGCAAGTAGTAGCAACTTAATACATTGTCCTGCACACTTTTTTTTTCTTCTTAGAAAAATTTGACATCTTATTTCTACCATGTGATTTTTTTGTACAACATACTCCAGAGGTCAGCCTGGACTATACTTCAACATCCCTTTTCAAAAGAAAAGAAAAGAAATAAGGAGTAGTATGGTAAAATGTGGGCTTTGAAATGGGGCAGAATTGGGTTCAAATCCAAATTATCTGTCTTACTAGCTTTGTGACCTTGAGTAAGACCTCAAACTCTTTTCCTCTGTTGTCTAAGAAAATGGGGAGGCTTTCAGTGATATCACAGGGAGTAAGGTAGTAAGGATCCCTACTCTCATGATATAATATGTGTCTAATACATATTGAATACATTGAGCCAATATTGATATGACTTGTGTTTCTGGGTGCATGGTTACTGAAACAGACTTTAGGTTCAGTTGTAGCCAAATAATGTATGACTACAAGTGGAATGCATGAGCAGTAGCTACCGGAGAACTAATCCTTCTCATTGCATTATATATCCTAACTCTTATTGTGTTAAGGGATTTAGTATCTTGAAATATAACAGCCATGTTTTTGAATACTTTGAATATTAATATAAGGAGACTTTTTCTTGAGGATTTTTCTTAGAATCTTGGGTTTTAAAAGTAATTTGGTTAAATATGTGAACATTACATAAAAGATGGTTATTGTTTTTCTTTGGCAGCCCTGCCAGTGATTTCTAAAGTAGGTAATTCTGGCTTGTTCTGACCTTGCATGGACAGTTGGCTATGCTGAATGTATAGACCATTCTATTTCATTTCAGACTTCAATTCCTTTGGGTCTCTATTCTTCCTTTGGTTTCACCTTATGTCGGGCAAGGCCTTTAGGGCAATTTTGAACATGGAAAGAGTTAAGAAACTGGTGAGGTGAATCTTCCTACACTCAAGAGGCAGAATTTCATGGAAGTTGAATTGTGGGTTCTGGAGCTAGACTGCCTGTGTTCCTATCTGGGCTCCATCATGTACTGGAGTGTGATATTAGGCAAGTTACTTACTCTTTCTGTGACTCAGTTTCCTCATGTTTAAAGTGAGTGGACTGTGTGAAGCTTGAAGGACTTAATTGCATTATATGCTTCCAACAGTGCACAGCATGTGGTGGGTGCCATGTTTGCCTGGATTATTGCTGCTCTGCCCTAGAGTTACTGTTGATCTCCTGGTTTGCATACCCACAGCTCATCTCTTCTCTTCTCTGGCAATGCCTCAGCATGAATTTTCCATGAAAAAAACAATCGAATGTGGCCTTCTGCTCACATGCTGGTGGCCATGGCTTCTGTTATTGTACAGGTAGCCTTTTATTTCCATACAAGTGTTGAGATGGGTAAAAAAGGACGAGTGATAGTAGAATATGAAAGAGTGAAAAGGAGAATCCCTGTCTTCTGGTTGAAGGGAATGGACTGATTCCTCCATCTTAAAAGTTCTGTGATTACAAATGTGTTTGTTTATAATTAGAACTAAAATTTTGAATTAGGGCATAGAAAGGCACAACTTTTTTTTAAACTCATTTCTTTGTTGTGTTTGCTAATGGTAAAATCCCCTGGAAACCTCAACAAGCCATGTTTTTATTTTTAGGGATATCAGAGCAGACAACTGAAACTATATTTTAAAAAAATTACTGAAATCCAGAGTAGTAATAATCTACTTTGGTAACAGCTATCAATGACTTGCAGCTGAATAGGCTTTAAAAAAAAAACGACCCCCCTCAACCCTTATGTGTTTTGGGGGGGGCTTGTAATTCCATTTCTACATAACTGACTTAGAGGTAAACTTTGAACAGCAGTGTTTTTCTCAGTTGGGACCTGCCTGCTCTGCTTTCTCTGCAGACTCTCCATAAATCAGAAGACCTAAATTCATAGGCTACCACTCCCCCATTTCATGAATGTATCCCATCTTTCTGAGTTAATTTTTCATAGGGGAAAGTGGACAGAGCTAAATGTTATCATGATACCAAACATCAGTAAATATTATTTTCTTTCAAAACTTTATAAGTACTATAAACTCAGATCCAGAAAAGGTAAAGTAGGTTCACAAGGGCATATAGCTAGTAAGTGGTCAGGTTATCATGCTTTCTCTTCTGTGCTTGTTATTACGTTCATGCATCCTCCTGGCTATTTAATTAGATAAACCCTGACAGATCTGTACTTGCTATATGGGGTATCTTTACTTATTTTTTTTTTAATTATCATGGTAAATTTTTGGGTAGCTGGGGATGTAGTTCTATGATAGAGTGCTTGCACAGCATCAATGAGGTTTGATCCCCAGCACTACAAAATAAGTAGATAGATAGATGGAGAATTCATTAAGGAATTAATTTTTGAGGGTGTAAGCTATTTTCTGAATTAAAATTTCTTGTAAGTAAGAATAAAATCACCAATTTATTTTTAAAGTTTTGCCTTACTATGCCTATTTATATGAACTAAGCATTGATCCTAAAATACATAATTTATACCTGTGAATTATGCCTGGAGCTAAAAATTGGCATGCTTTATCTCATCACAAGAAACTCAGTGAGCAAGGGGTCTTGCTCCAGGCAGAGTTTCACTTCCAGGTCAGAGCCATGCCCTTTTTTCTTGTTACTAAGGTACTTTTTGAAACAAGTGCCTGCAGTTGAGCTATTTGATTATTTGGAATGGAGTTCATGTTTTCAGTAGTGTGTTCTAAATTGAAATAAGGAAAGTCAGTAACTACTCTTCTCTGTTACTACTCACAGCAGATCACAGGCATAGATGCCCTTTGCATCTGCTCAGCTACATCACATACTTCCTTCTTGCCAAGTGTATATTTCCTTAAAGAGGTAACAGGGACCAACTTGTTCTTTTTCAGAGAACTGGCCTGTCTCATCTTCAAGATGAAGAATAAGGATGTCTGGTGGTAGATTTCTTTATTCTATTGGAAGAATGATTGGCTGACTTCTTCCTGATGACTCAGGGTTTTCTGTGAGGCAAAGGACAGATGTAGCTATGGAGACAGTTGTGCAAAATAGTTCACAGCAAAGGTTAAAGATGGTCAGCGTGTGGACATTGGCACTACAGCTCTGTGAACTTCAGGGACTAGTTAAGAGTTGTTAGAGGAAGATCTGTGATAGTAAAAGGAATTGAGAAGGTTTTGCTGAGTGGGAAGGAGAACATGATAATCAAGAGGATACTTTGAACATCTTTGAAAAATTAAACACTTCTCTTTTATTCAGTTACTCATCCATGATTTGATGAATTATTGTAGTGGTTCATATTCTGCTTTGGGGACACAGTTCATTTCTAAATGCTGTGTGTGTATCGACTGGGCATTTGAGGACAACATCATATCTTCTTATATTTTTGCTCAGAGAATTTCTTAGGCAGACTCACGTAAGCTCCTTATTCTGTGACTGTGGAGCTGTATCATGGTGGTCTATGTTGAGGAGCTCCTACAAAAATATTTTAGAAACTTCTGCTATCACATTTAAAACAGAATTTGTGCTTTTCTCCTCATGCAAGTATTATCAGAATGTGCATACAATTTTGAATAATTTTAAGATGATCATTTTTTCTATAAAAAGAGCTACGTTAAGTTAAATCAATAAAAGAGTTTAATGGTCAAAGGAATGATAGTATCAAGTGCTTTTTAGGGTATTTAGTTTTATCTGTCTGTACTGGGTTTGAACACAGGCCTTTGCACTTATTAGGCATGTGCTCTACTACTTGAACTATGCCTCCAACTCTGGGTATTTAGTTTTAGAATAAAACATAACCATTCCATTTTATTTCTTTTCTCCCCAGAATTCCATTTTTAGTGTTTTAAGTCATTGCACAGAGAAGAACACTGAACTTTGAAAGAAATGTTGGAAACCATAGGTAAGACTTATTTCTTTCTGCCTACTTTTGTAAGAATCGAAACTTCTTTCATTGGATCTTTGAATATGATATGTTCTTTATCAGGGATTCTGTCTATAGTCACTTAGGTTATAAAAACAAATCATCTGTAAGTAAAAATAAACATGTGAGTTATTTTACCAGTTATGGATTTTAATAAACCTTAAGGTAGGCCCAATTCTGATTTATGACCCAATTCTGGTAGGTTGTTTGTAGATAGTGCCAGGAAGTTTAAAGTTCAGTATACTTAATACTAAAACAAGATCAGTATTCTTACTTGCACTTGTGCAGTGGAGCGAGCTTTTTCTCTCACTCATTTGTTGGAGTGAGGTTTCTCTCACTCCTGGTTATTACTGAACCTAACTGGGCCTAACTGGAGGAGACTGGAGATACAGGAAAGACACAGGATGGACAGACAGAAAATTGGGGCCAGGTGTGTTAGGCCCTCGGGTGGAGACTCACAACCCTCATTACTTCTTTTCTCTATTATTCTCTTCATTTTACTCTGCGTCCTTTCTCTATCTTTGTTCTTTAAGTCCTTATTCCTTTACAGTTCTTTAAAACCTTGCTTTTTAAGTCTTCTTTTCTGTTCTTTAAAGCTCTTTTCTTAGACTTGCACTGTCCCATGTTTTCTCTTAGCTGTTCTTTGGCATAAACTCTCTAAAAGTCTTTGCCCCCAGACTTGCACTCTCCCATGTTCTCTGTTGCTTTTCTTTAGCTTAGCTTTTCTAAAGCTTATGTATAAAGTTCTCGGTGCAGACTTTCTATCAACCCCTTTTTAGCAATTCTCCTTTAGCAATTCTGTTCCCTTCAGAAGTTCTTTTCCCTTCAGCAATCCTTTTCACTTCTAAAGTCTCCCACATCAGAAAGCCTCCCTTCATCCAAAAGTCAAAAGCCTCCCTTTACCCAAAAAGCAAAAGCCTCAAGCAAAAAGTCCAAAGCAAAAAGCCTCCTGTCCTCCTTCAGTGAGTCTTTTATATATGGTGGTAAAGAGGGTGGAGCAGCTGTTCTTGGGGAGGAAGGTGGCATTGTAACAGGAGAAATCTGCATTCCTGCTTCTCTGAATGTAAACAACTTAGGAGAAGCAGCTGTTCTGTATTTTCCTCTTCTGTGGCTGGGGCTGTGCCAATCTTAGCCTACAGATAAACATCTTAGGAAAAACAGTTGAGCGGCATCTTGCCTTGCCCACGTCCAGTTCGCATAGGCCTCTCATAATCTGCTCTCCATAGTGCAGATAAAATACTACTGAGCTTGTGCTTTTAACTGATAAAGAGAACACTAACAAACAGGTTGACGATCTTTAAACCTTTAATGCAGTTTAATTTCTACATGAGATCATTTAGATTGTAATATCCAGATTTATTAGGCTCATATGTTAATCTTTTCTCACTGCTTTTGGTTTTAGAAACACTAATATATAGAACTATTTACAGGTATATCAGATTTGGTACAACAACCATCTGACAGCCTCATTCCTTACCTTCCCAGGTAGTGCTTTGGGTATGACAACTGGAAGGTCTCAGGATGCCACTCTGGAACCTCCATGATTATGGCAGGTGCCTTGTTAGCCACAGGTTCTGAGAATAGACAGAGAGTCAAAGGCAGTAAAGGTGGGCTTAACCAGTTTGGGTTATAATACATATATACACAGAAATGTCACAAAGAAATTTCCTGTATAACTATTTTAAAGAAACAAAAATGTCATTTTTTTAAAAAAACAAAATCAGAGAACAGGAGGGCAGAACAGGTCTCGTCTGAGGGGTGGTACCAGTAGAAGGGGAGAGAATGTGGGGAAAGGATATAGGAGGGTGAATATGGTGCCAGTAATATGCCCACATGTATGTAAATGGAAAGATAATACCTGTCGAAACTATTCCAGGAATGTGGGGAGGGGGGAGATAAAGGAGAATGATGGAGGGGATGAATTCAAGAATGATATATTTGATACACTGTAAGAACTTTTGTAAATGCCACAATGTACCCCCACTCAGCACAAAAATTAAAGAAACAAAATTTTAAAAAAGGCAGTAAAGGGCAAAGGAGCTGTTCTTGTGATCATTTGACTTTTGTCATTAAAGTGCATGAAGGTACATTTCCTGTATCACTCATTTTATTCTAAAGTTATACACCATAAAGATTACTCATCCACATAGGAAAGTTTCCCATAGAAGGTGGAAAGGAAAGGGGAATTCAAGAACTATTTAAGCCATTGCTTTCTAGGCTTTATTCTGTTAGCTTTTACTGAGTTGCACAGCTTCTCAGAGTTGATATGAAAATTCATAATACTGAGTTATCATGGAAAATGTGACTGAGAATAAAATTCTCCTATCTTTATTATTACTTAGTTTAAAATTTCTGGATGAGTAAATACTGCTTATTTCAATTTGTTTGTGTATGTGAACTTGGTAATACCGGTTCACGTTTCAATTACCCTGTTTGTGTGAGACTCCACATTTGGTACTATAGAAAATAATTCTGGTAATGATTGCTTCTGTTTTGATTGCTATAATGTAGCATATGTATTTTAATCAACATGCTTATTATTTTAATGAATGTATTAGGACATATACCTGAACAATCTCCATTAAGAAAAGCAAAAACAAAAGTGTGTGTCTATTTTCTCAGAGATACTTCAAACTACTTCTTTTTTTTTGGCAGCACTAGGATTTTAAATCAGGGCCTCACACTTGCTAGGCAAGTAGTCTAACACTTGAGCCAACTCTCCAGCCCTTTTTGCTTTAGTAATTTTTAGGTAGGGACCTACACCTCTTGAATAGCTAAGATTATAGGCATGGAGGCCCACTTCCCAGCCTAGTTGGTTGAGGTGAATGTCTTACTTTTTGTTTGGACTAGCCTTGAACTGTGATCCTCTATTTCTCTGTTTCCTGGGTAGCTTGGATTACAGGTATGTATCACCATGCCTGCCTCTTTTAAACTCACTGGCGGGAACAAGCATGTAAGATGCTAGAACTGTTAGTATACATTTCTTAAAATATTTACTTTTGCAACTTTGTGCCTGATTCATAAGGTACTTAGTAGTATTTGAACTGGATTTGTTTGAAGAACACATAAATATGCTATTTAATTTTGGGGGAAGGCATTTCAAATATTTAAAAAGTAGTGTTTTAGGCTGGAGATGTGGCCCAAGTGGTACAGCACCTGACTAGCAAGTGTGAGGCCCTGAATTCAAAACCCAGTACTGCAAAAAAGTGGAGCTTTAACATTTTCATCAGTATACATTAATTGTATGAAGTAATGTGTTTCATTATGACACTTGCATATATACATACAATGTACTCTGATTACATCACCCCCTGTGGTAACTTCTCTCATCCTCCTCCCCCTTTTCCTCTTATAGATTGTGTCTTTGAAAGACTATGAATTGCGTAGTATTCCCTAATAAATTCTCAACTGTAGGATGCTTTGCTCCTTAGTGGGTGGCATTGCTTTATTTTGGATGTTATGATTCTTTGGTGACATTATCCACATCCAGTTATTAGTGAGTTAATTATACTACTAAGTTTTCTTATATGTAAATGAAATTTTAAAAAATTTCATGAAATATTTGAAAAGAAATGCAAATAGCATTTCAAGACCATAAATCATTTGGTTTTTATATAACTTTTATAAAAGAGTTGAGGCAGCTGGCATTGGAATTCAACTGTGTATCATCTGAGTAAGTTTCTATGACTTTGCAACCAGTTGTATGTGGCATACACTATACCTAGTTCCTTGATTTTAAAATAACTTTCTTGTAAGAGACTTCAAGGTTTGAAGGGCATATTTATAGTAATGTGCTACATTTCTCTCCTTTTTCCCCAAACAAATCCACCAAATGGATTGATTTGAAGCATATGTAAATACGCTCTTTAATTTTGAGGAAAAACATTGAAAATATTAAAAAGTGCCTTTGGTACTTTTTTGCTCCGTTAAAAAATTTTATACTTTTGTACAACTTTTTACTCAGTAAAAAGGAATAGTTTTAGGATTTTTACAAACATGAAATCTTCATAGGTTTGGCATGTGTCTTTTGAATTACACATATAATTGACTAAATGCTGCTCTTTGGAATAGACAAAAATCGGGCCCTGCAGGCAGCAGAGCGCTTGCAAGCAAAGCTACGAGAACGAGGGGATGCAGCTAATGAAGACAAACTGAGCCTTCTGAAGTCTGTCCTGCAGAGCCCCCTCTTCAGTCAGATTCTGAGCCTTCAGTCTTCTGTGCAGCAGCTGAAAGACCAGGTAGGACATCACTTATCCAGACAGGCTTCATGGCACGTCCTAGATCTTGGGAAAGGCTTGTGTTTTCCAAAGGCTGATTTTTGTATGTGCTAATGAATAGTTAATGAAGTCATTTAAACCTCCAAACAAGACATTCAGATTCACTGTGACTTTTTCCCTCCTACTTATTTTTGTAATGATTGTTGCTGTATATTGTAGATGATATGACATTGTGTTAAAAGCTTTGTGGATGCTGAAGAATGAGTTCCTACAGGAGAAGGGGATGATAAAAATATGTTTAGGGTGGGTGGCTGTAGACTTGGCTTCCATTATCACTAAAGCTCATTGTTCATGGGATCTTGCTCATTCACATTCAGACATTCAGTTCACTCACAAGATTTTAGATAAGCCTGGATTTGCATGTGTAATCATGTGTGTGAGGAAGGGAAATCACCTCTATTTTGACAGTAAAAGAAATAATTACATTGTCATCAGTTAGAGGAATTGCAATTCTCACTTCTTAAAAGAGTGTAAGTAGCAATTGCTTCCATGACAGCATCAGATGGTGATAAACATTAGAACTTCTAAATGTAACACCATGTTTTTTTCCTGTAAAAATTATGAGCACTAAAATGTTTGAGCATTTATGTTAGAATTGAAACATATCACAATGACAGAATGAAAACTGAAGTCAGATGTTCTTTGAACTTACTTAATTTAATCACAATTTCTCAAGTTTTTTAAAAAATATCTTTAAAAACAGTTCTTATCCTCACAAATTTGAAGTTAATTATGCCTTAAGCTAGTTCTTATTCTCATGTGTTTAGCATGAATTTAATGGTTATGGATGACTTGCTAGCAAATATTCTGCCTTAAGAGGTTAAAAATTAAACTTGAAGACTAATTTCATAATTCAGTGAAAGAACAGCTCCAATTAAAAACTCCAAAATTATGCCAAGTGCAAAAGAAAAAATAGTAGTAATAGAGAAGGAATTTGTTTAATTTCATGTAGCTTCTTAATCTAGATATGTATTTTTGTTACCCCCACCAAAATAAATCAAAAAGAGCTTTCAAAAATATTTTTTCTATAGTGAATTTCTACTTAATAAAAGTGATTTTTTTAAATCATGATCATGAATTTAAGAGGGTATGTTTGTTACATGGGGTTGTGATTGCCCTCTTTGCAAGTTATTAAAAAGACTGGTTGACAATACTGTTTTTTAGAATGGATTGGCAAGCTTTGGGAGAAACCAACATCCTGAAGTGTAATTATGATGTGGAAAATTCTGGTTTTTTCAGAGCATAAAGAAATTGAACAGCTGTCATCTCCCCTAACTGTATTGTAAGGAATTCTGAAACAAAATCAGTACCAGCCACTGTATTAAAATATACCTTGAGTCCAGGGAGATAACTGTTGATATTTTCCTGCTAACCAGCGCTATGCAAGGGGAAGACTACTTGTGCCTGTCTTGTATGATGAAACGAGGTGACAAATTTGCCTATTTGTTGAGCTCGTCTTACGATTTCTAAATGGAAGTAAGATATGGGCTCTGAGACTATTTGGGTCCTACATGGTTCAGATGAAACTTACTTGGAAATCCAATAAGGATAATCATGGAGCCTCATATTCTGTGAACAAGTACACCATGATTATGTTGTTTTATTGATGATATAACAGTGGCTTAGAGAGGTTAAGGGACTTGTTTGTAAGTGTAGGTCCAGAACTAAAAATTCAGTTTTCTTGGGCCCCAAGCACAGCCTTTTCCTGTTTTCGCTTGGCAGCCTGTTTTACATCTTTTTTTTTTCCCAAGGGGAGAAACTTGATACCTAGATGTCAAAACTTTCATTTGATAACTTCTCAGAGTTTCTGCTACTTTCCTCTTTAATCTTTATTTATTTATTTATTTATTTTTTGATGTTCTGGGGTTTGATCTCAGGGCTTCACACCTAAGTGCTCTGCCACTTGAGCCACTTCTCCAGCCCTCCATCTCAATCCTTTATTAACTCAATTCCTTTTAGTCACCAGTTTTTTCTTCTCCTGTACTGTTAACAGCACCAATTCAGTCTGTGATCAGAAGACTTCCAGATTCTTTGTGTCCTGTGGGAAGAATCCATCACAGGACATGTGGGTGTAAAGGGAGATTATTTAAAGTTAGGGAAGAGAAATATACAGGGGAGCATGGTGGGTGCAGGTGGAGTTGCTTGCAGAGAGAGTGAGCTTCTCTTTCTCAGGTACTTCAAAAACTTACACTAATTTAGGTGAAGGGAAGAAGCAGGAGATTCTCATCCAACAATAAGTGAGTGGGAAGAGGCATGGGTGGTTCCCTGCCAGGTGAGGGTGGTCTGGGCCATCACTGGCCACCTACATATGAGTCCCAAACTTTCCCTACTTCTAGCCCATCTCAGTATAACTATAGTAAAATATCAAAATTATTTTTTCTATTTTAAGAATTAAATATAACCTAGAATATTCTTTATCATGTTCCACTTACCAACTGCTAATTCATGAATATTTATAAGTAAATAATTAATGCATGAAAGGAATTAAATTTGTTTCGTGCTTTTAAACAAGTGACTACCCAAATCTGACCAATGACTGGCTTTTATTCATTAACTTATACTTAAATTATGTTTTCAAGTGTATGCACAGCTGTTGTAAGTTACTCTTTCCATCCTTTTTACTATTAATAGAAGATCTCACCTCTCCAGGTCTTCCCTCCATCATTCTCCTGTCTTTCAGAGAAGCAAAGAATAATTGAAAACTCCGAGGTACATGCAGCACATTGGAGAGCATGATCATGTTGTTACATTAGTGACAGATGCTCACATGCCATGTTGAATTAAGTCTACAGTTTTTTTCCTCAAATCCTTCTCATTACTTCTATTCAGTAATGTTTAGTATTTCCAATTTGCTTCTTCAGTATGAAGACTGCCCTTAGAAATCAAACTGTTTCCCTTTGGCAAATTAAACACTTGACAGGTGTGTAACAGAGAGGGCAAAAAAGCCATGGCCTGAAGGGATGTGCTATTTAAATATTGTCAAAAATATTAACAGGTCTGAAAGTATAATTGATGCCTCTGTTTAACTCTGCCACATTGTGTATTGTTCTAACGCCAGCTAAAAGGATGTGTGCTATTAAACCTGAATAATCTCTAATAGCTCCAGTTCATTTCCTATTGCATGATTCCTGTTTAAGTGAAGAGAAAAAAAGAACTGTGACTGTGTGTCAATGATCTGTCAAATGCAAATTCTCAAGTAGTGTCCTCACTGTCACCTAGTCATCACAGCTAACAACTACAGAGCTTAATGAGTATTCATGACAAAAATCTAGCTATTGTGGGGGAAATACACACGTTAGCAGTTTAATAATAGAAACTTGTCAGCCTTGAGGATATTTAATTTGCATATTTGTTCTATGAAGTTTCTCCAGTCCAGTATAGGTGGATGCTATTTTCCTGATTAATTAATTGCCTTGCATTATGAAGTGATCAGAGGCACTAAATTAATCGTTTTACCCTAAGTTATTTGTAGAAGAGTATGAGTTAAAATGATTAATTTCAGTAGAAATTTGGGGCCTGTGTGTACATATTGACATTTCCAGGATTACTGTTGAAGCTGTGGTGATGGAGATCCATTCTAAGACTGGAAAAATGACATGAATAACTAGGGTTACAAAACTGTAGCTTGGGCAAGCAGCCTGGAACACAGATTGTTTGTGAGGTCCTTGTGGGTGGACTTCAGCCCACCTGGCTATGACATTCTATTGTTTTGTTATTGTTTGTTTAATCTTCCAGGCTCTTAGTTCATTCACTTTCCTCCCAGAAAATGTTGACTGTACACATTTCATCTAGATGTGGAATGTGTGTGCACATAAAGTAAGCTACATTTTTCTTTGGAAATTTATGACTTCTCTTGAAATAACTGTTCAATGTTGATTAGTTAGATAATTTTTTTTTCATTTTTGTTCTTAAAATATCATCTTGGTAGTGCAAAATTTTTGTTTTCTATTTCTGTATCTCTAAGTTTTACATGTTCACATTCCAAAAAAAGAATTCTAAACAACTTCTGATGGCAAACATATTGACTGATGGATGATTTTAAGGTAAAACTGAAGACCAACTAAATATATCATAGTACTGGATATACCAAGGACCTTGGGTTACTAAAACCAAAGTGTATCATTTAATCTCAGTTTCCCAAAAGCAAAGACAAAAGAAAAAAAAAAAAAACAAAACCCCAAAACCCTGAATATTGTGCATTGTAAGAATTGAGTTTCTCTTGGCAGTTATCATATGGATGCTTCTATAAAAGGCTCATATTCTTTTATTATTAAGCCTTTGTTGAGCACCTAAGACCCATAAAAAACAAATGAATAATAAGATGAAGGTTCTTACAATCTAGACGGGAAATAGAACATGGCAAACAAGGGGAGTGGTAAAAGAGGAAGGAATTTCTTAACTTCGAATAGAAGAAAACTCCATGCAGGAGGCAACAACATTGAAGATAGGTCTTAAAAGATGAGTTGGAGTTTTGTGCAGAGGTAGGGAAATTGTTTCAGGTAGAGGGAGCAATGTTTACAAAGGATTTTGTTTTCTGAGGATGTGAAAAATGTTACACTCTCCTTCTCAAGAGACATTTGGCAGTGTGTCTAGAGGCAGTTTTGACTGTCAGAAGTGGGAATGGCATGTGAGTGTGGTGAGAGTGAGCTGTATGAGAAACATTGGTGGACACACTTGTGTCTTTCCACAGTGTCAAAATTTATTGAATGACAATAAATTCACAAGCTGTTTCAATTTTGCACTTTAATTTGCTGAGTGCTACTAATTTCACATATTTGTGAGTCATTGGCAAACAGGTTCTTTTATCCCAATCTTATTTATTAAGATTAGGAGCTCACAGGCCACATGTTATACATCACAATGAATTGCAGGTTACAGAATGGCTAAGAAAGAATTAAAGCATCTGTAGAGTTCACAAGGGGCTTGTTGAAGACCAGAGCTGATACAGACATAAAGAAAGT